TACCAACATTGCGAGTGCGAATCCATCTTAGTGAAAATGTCAGTGGCGTGTTCTGTTCCTTCCACTTTTCAACTTTCTTACGTTCACGCAAATAATGTCGAGCAACTTCAATGTTTTTTTTCTTAATTCACATAGATTTTCTTTTCATTGCGTTGTTTTTTTTAACCCATATGAAGTTTTTGGATCAAAATTGAAAACCAAAAAGATAATTTCCTGTCGTACCCACCTCGGCCATCGGCGTTATTAAGCCTAAAATTTATATTACGTAAGGCTAGCAATGATATCGGCTTCTTTGCATGTTTTATTCATCATCGTGGTGAGTACAGATAAAACGAAAGCGAGATGACGATACGCATGAAATCTGCATGATGCACAGCAAAATAAAGGAGTAAATACATTTGCCTCTGTGCTTGAGTTGGTGGTGTAAAGGAATTCGTGTGCAAGTCAGTTTCCTTTGTCTTTAGACCGGGGTGTAAGGACACATCTCGGGCACAATGCAGTACGGATATTCCGGTACAGGATTGAACACCGTGCCTTCCTTGCACTTCTCGAGAACCGCGCAGACCCCTTCGGCATAGCACGCGTAGTACTCTATGACGCACGTCGGGAACTTCTGAAACGAGCCGACCTCCGCGCACACGAAGCTGTCTGGACACTGAAGAGGAGTGGTCGCTTGTATCGTCGTCGTGATCATGGTGGATTCGGTCGTCGTCGTGATGGTTGTGGATTCGGTCGTCGACGGCGGATCTATGCAGAGGAACTGACACTGCGCGCCCTCGAAGCAAAAGCCGACCGTCACGTCGAAGTTCGCGCCGTCAGGACACGAGAAGTGTAGGTCCTCCGACGGAGGCCCTTCCTCGAGACACACGTAGAACATCGAGCAGTTCTTCGGATCCGGGATTTGGCTGCCCGGCGCCACGCAGTAGGGGGCGCACGGGTCCGAGCAGCATTCGTACGTGTTGACGCATGTCTCGCCGTTGAAGAAAGGCCTGTCGTCAGGGCAGTAGATGGGGCCCTCCTCGCCGGACGGAAGACAGAAGTAGTACTGACCGCAATTCAGGGGGTCGCTGACCACCTCTAAATTATCGTTGCAGACGTAGTTGCATTCTTTGGAACTGCAGAGATCGGTGCAGTCTGTCCCGGAAACGCAGGAGCCGGTTGCAGTATCGAAAACATGACCTTCCTCACACGGAACAGGGCTGTCGGTCGGCATCTCACCGACGAGGCAGTAGTAGTACTGAGTGCAGTCTTTAGGGTCAACGACCCTCTCGCCGGGCGCTTTGCCGGTGCAGTCGGGGGCGCACACCTCCAGGCAGTTCACCGCAGAGGCACACGCGCCCTGGAAAATCACAGAAGCTAAAACTTTTTCCTTTCTTGGTATATCATTGAAGTTTATCTGATGTGTTCAACCTTCTTTGAATGTAAAATTATTAGGAATAATAAGCACTGAGATTTTATAGCAAGAGCCGTTGTATGCTGATACCTAATATTAACACATTACGCAGGCATGTGTGTTTATATACATATACATATATATATATATATATATATATATATATATATATATATATATATATATATATATATATATGTGTGTGTGTGTGTGTGTGTGTGTGTGTGTGTGTGTGTGTGTGTGTGTGTTGTGTGTGTGTGTGTGTGTGTGTATTCATATTATTTATATCATAAATAGTAGTCTAGTTAGTGTTAAGTGCTTTGCATGCCTTCTCGCTTGCAGCTGCCACCGCTGGCTAGCCTCATGCGAAAGAGGGAGCAGCTATGCATAAGCCTCCCCTGCCAGTGCATAGCCTTAAGACTTCTGCAGTGCCTCCTCATGGCCTCCCATGGAAACTGGGTACCTCGCGGTCCCTGGCCCACCGGCGTGTGGACACGCCCTGGGCCTGTACCAACTCCTGCCCCTAGGCCCCCTGTGGTTAATGGGAGGCTCGGGGGAGGTGGGCCTTGCCAGTCCTCCTCTCCCCAGATAAACCTCATCGGCAGTGACTGATATAAATGGAAATGCTTGGAAGAGGGGCAATGCTCCTCCCACTCAGAAAGTGAGGCGGGCTGCGGGCCCCATTGGGAGGGCGACTGCCGGGACGCAGGATGGGAACGGGACCTACTCGTCCAGCCTGTGTTTCTGGCAGTCGCAAGCCTGGAGTGAAGCTTGCGGTGGAAAGTGGATGATGGGTCCCGTAGCCAGCCACACCCTTTTATATGGAGCAGCGTCGGCAGGGGTGGCAGAGGTGGCGTCCACCTGGAGTGACTGCCCGAGGCTAAACCTCAGGCAAGAAGTCAGGGTGGGGGCTTGGAACGTCCGTTCTTTGCGTCAGGATGTTCGGTTGCCTCTGCTGTCGAGGGAACTGGGGAAGCTGAGAGTGGAGGTGGCTGCTCTCTCGGAGGTGAGAAGACCTGGCAGCGGCAAGATTAGTGTAGGTGGCTACACCTACTACTGGTCGGGCTGCAGCGATGGTCACCATCTCCAGGGAGTAGCCATGGCTAT